ATTGGGATGCCAGAAGGGGAAGAAAGAGACCAAGAAATTGAAAACCTATTTGAAAAAATAATGACAGAAAACTTCCCCTACCTGGGAAAAGAAATACACTTGCAAGTCCAGGAAGCACAGAGGGTTCCAAACAAGAGGAACCCAAAGAGGCCCACACCAGGACACACTGTAATTAAAATGCCAAAGATGAAAGACAAAGAGAGAATCTTAAAAGCAGCAAGAGAAAAGCAGTTAGTTACCTACAAGGGAGCACCCATACGGCTGGTAGCTGATTTCTCAACAGAAACCTTGCAGGCCAGAAGGGATTGGCAAGAAATATTCAAAGTGATGAAAACCATGGAACTACAACCAAGATTGCTCTACCCAGAAAAGCTATCATATAGAATTGAAAATCAGATAAAGAGCTTCTCAGACAAGGAAAAGCTAAAGGAGTTCATCACCACCAGACCAGCACTACAGGAAAAATTGAAGGGTCTTCTTTAAGAAGAAGCTGATGAACTAAATAGATCCAGAGACATTGAGCAGGCAACAGACAATCATATTTCAGAAGAAAGAGGGAAGGGGGGTGGAGGGTGGGAAGAGATTAACCAAAGAAGTTATATGCATATATGCATAACCCATGGACACAGTGAATAACAGGGTGAAGGCCTGGGGAGGGGGTGGGAGTGAATGAAGTGGTGGGGAACAATTGGGGGGGGAAATGGGACACCTGTAATACTCTCAACAATAAAGATAAATTTAAATTAAAAAAAAATTCCAGACTTGACAAATATGATTATATTTTGAGAAATGTTGAAACTACAGTTAAAACAGGTATTAAATCTAGGTTTGGTTCATAGGCTTTAGCACAAGAGACAGCATTGTGGTCCTATGGCTTTCTCTTTAACAAAAGCAGCAGAGTTTGCACTAGAATCACAGAGGAGTGGGAAGAGGGGGGTCAGGGAGGTCAGTGTGGAGGGTCTGCTTGTGTTTTCATAATCTGGGTGGGTGGGGGCTATGGATAGCTTAAAAAAACCCTTCCTTGTTGGCAACGCTGTGTTCCCTCTATCTATTCCCCTATTGTGGACCTTAGCCCTTTTGGATGGGAGGTACCTGGAGCCTCTTTAAAATGTGGAGCCCAAGCCCTGCCAGACTTACTGAATCAGAATTTTAAGAGGTGGGGCCCAAGAAGTCTTTTTTTAAAAAAAAAAAACAATCTTACTTTCTACACATTTATAGTAAATTATTGACTGTAATCGGTTGAGACATATTATTATCACATACTTTTGACAGCCATACTTTGCCTAACAGAGAATTAAATTGCCTGAGCTAAATAAAATTACTATGAAAGATATTACATTTTTAAATGAGAGATGATTGAAAAGGTAGGGGGAGAAAAACTGGCTTACCTCTACCCAGTTTAGGTTCCTTATCTGGGGCCCTGTAAATTAGACTGACAAAAGCCAGCTTAATGAGAGAGAACAGCAGGTTATTAGCGTGAGTATTGTGCTACTCATACATGGGAGTACTCACTGATGACTAATTCAAACGAGTGGCGAGAACTTGGGCCTTTGTGGCATCTTAGCAAAGAACGGTAATTTTGTAGAGAATTGCCAGACAAAGGATAAGACCTTTGAGCTTTTAGGGCAGAAAATCATGGAAAGGCAACTATATTAGAAAACTAATAGTAAATAAGGGCTGGTCTTAGCAAAATTTTTTATGTAGATTCATCTGATGCCATCTCTGAGTTTATGAGGGTCCCTGGTTGTCTCAAGGGTTAACTTCTGTCCTTCCTGATAGAGAGGGGAAAGGACACCTTTACAAATTTATAGCCGACTTTTAATCAAATAAAGGGAGCGCAGGGAACTTTTTGTGTATCTTCTCAGTTGCCCTCAACTCAAAATAATCCTTATGCCAAAGTAGCACACTTAGGGTGGCATATTCTGTATCCCTTAGCACAATAACAAGGAACCACAATAACTCGTTAGTACATTTATTCTTAGAGCAGTGTTGAAGAAGGGCTTTATGTGTTGAGCAATTTTACTATAATTTTCTGTACAATATGCTAACAAAGATTTTTTTTCATTAAAATGTCCTAAATCTTTTATGCTACAGGTTCTACTTACCTTTTATATTATGATATTTCAAAAAAGCTAGACTTCTAAAAGCAATTTCAAAAATAATTTTTTTTTCAATTACCGTTGACATTCAGTGTTACTTTATATTCGTTTCAAGTTAGTGGTTAGCCTAGTGGTTAGTCAGTGATATACAAAGTGATCCTCCCAATAATTCAAGTACTCACCTAGTACCATACATAGTTATTACAATATTATTGACTATATTCCCTATATCCCCATGACTACTCAAAAATAATTCTTTTTTCAGATTTACGTTTAGAATAAACATTTAAGGGGTAAGTCCCCTACACTCATTGTAGTAAGAAAAGAATCTTGATTTTTATTGCCAGATTCTTAAATTACTATATTCTGTACATATCAGAGCTACTCAAAATCAGTGTACATTTATTATTAAAAAATCAGGCTTTCAAATAGCAATTTGAAAACTAGGATATTTCTACGTACCCAGCCTATGCATATACTATCGCAGAACAAATTATCTCTGAATCATAAATTTTACCTTTCATGTTTTCTTGAGCTCTTTAAGTAAAACTTATGGAAGTAGACATACAAAAAAGCACACAAGTCATAGCTTATGTCTGTTCTGAAATTTATCTCCTATATTTGCATACCTTTCTTATAAGATAGGTCTATTAGACATTGTAAGTGACATATATTTAAGAATGTGGAATCAGGGAATACCTAGAAACCCTTCAATGTAATTTGATGCTTTATGTTGATGTTTAAAGTTAAGTCTGTTTATTTATGGATTCAGTTTTGTCTGAAGTTTTGCTTTTTATGTGTTTTTAAGGCTCCACAGTTTTTAATGTCTTCAGAGGAGTTTTGGAGGTGGTAATTGGTGTGGCAACTGGATCTCTTCTTGGATTTTTCATTCAGTACTTTCCAAGCAGTGACCAGGTAAAGAATCTGTGGGAAAGTCATGCTCTAAAATGTCCTTGGAAAAACATTCTGGAGCACTTCCTTCAAAGCTGATGTGAAGGATGTGACTCAGAGAATGCCCCCTATTTTCAAACTACTCATTGCTCTAACGGTGCTACCCATGAGCTTTATGAAGAGGACTCAATGTATAAGATTTTAATGCAGTCCTGAAAGTTTTTTCTCTAGTTTGTATTCTGTACATTTCAAATTTCACTGTAAAGCAAATAACATCAATTCCCAAGTGATAGGATACACAAATTTTTAATTTTTTAAATTAAATTATTTTTATTTCTACTTATTTTTATTCGTCATTCATAATACTCAACTAAATCAAGATATAAAATGGCTGTTTGAGCCCAGCCAGTGTGGCTCAGTGGCTGAGCATCAACCTATGATCCCAGAGATCGCAGTTCAATTCCCGAGCAGGGCACACACCCGAGTTGCGGGCTCCATCCCCAGTGCAGGGTGTGCAGGAGGCAGCCGATCGATGACTCTCTCTCATCATTGATGTTTCTATTTCTCCCTCTCCCTTCCTCTCTCTGAAATCAATCAATAAAATATTTTTTAAATAAATAAATAAATAAAATGGCTGTTTGAACCCCCTTTTTTTAGTATCAAAATACCTTAGATTCTAATATTATCAAATAAATAGACCTTAATATTTCATTACAATATAGCCCAATATTTCTAACCAAGGAGATCAAAGTTCTTTACAGTTCACAATGATTTCTTTATGAAAAACAAATGTTTTCGTTTGTGCCTCTCACTGTCCTAAGTCCCTTAGGATAGATAAACATAAAAATCTTTTTTTTTTCTATAAGAATTGGCATTTTGAAGATTTCAGAGCATTTTGAATGGGTTTAGAAACTTAACTAAAGTAGAACTTTAAGTAAGAAAATTAATATTTCACCCAGCCGGTATGGCTGAGTGGTTGAGCATCGACCTATGAACCAGGAGACTGTGGTTTGATTCCCAGTCAGGGCACTTGCCCAGGTTTTGGACTCAATCCCCAGTGGGGGCCGTGCAGGAGGCAGCCGATCAATGACTCTCTCACCATTGATGTTTTTTCTCTCTCCCTCTCCCTTTCTCTCTCTAAAATCAATAAAGACATATTTTTTAAAAAAGAAAGAAAATTAATATTTCTATTATGAGCATGTTGATTTGAATTTTCATTGTGCTCCATAAAACTCCAAGTAAAACTGTCTTGTAAAAGACAATTATAAAAAATCTTCTAAAAGATTATTTGGATGCATAAAAGAAAATGACAGGATTTTTCTGATTATACAACAAAATAAAGAGAAAAATGTGTGTAAAATGATAAGGTAAGTTCAATAAAGTGAGACTCTATTCAGTATGGCAGCCAGTAGCTACATGTGGCCATAGCAGAGACAGAGCATTTCCATCGACAGCGCAGATACAGAAATTTCTATCATCACTGACCATTCTATTGGGAAGCGCTGATCTAATGCAATCCACACAATAATAACCCATGATAAGAGTACTACTCATACAACCATTTTACTGACAAGGAAATCAAAGCTTAGGGAGAAGTGACTTGAACAAGGAAGGTCACATAGCTAGAATGCAGTGGAGCTAGGAATGACCTTAGTTATTTCACCTCTAGAGCCTGCATGCCTCCAAGCCGAGCATCCTTAAAGACCCACCTGCCTTCTAAAGTTATCAAATTTTAAAGGCTGAACAGCGGGAAGTAAAGGGATAGAGGTACACATCTCTTAGACTTTAAAAACCAACAACAATAAAAATAAAACTCAACAAGAAAAAACTACTCAGTCTATAGACTCTTCAAGCTTCTTGGTATTTAAGGATTTAGAAAGAAAAAACAGGATGTAACAGCTTTTGGGGAGGAGGAAATAAAACTTGGAGAGGCTTAGTAATGTGCCACACATACAACAATGATGTAAAAGAGCTAGAATTTTAACCCTGGGCTGTCTGGCTCCAAAGCCCATGGTGCTTTCTTCTACTATTCCATTCAATCCTGTGAAATTCTACATTGATAACTGCAGAGGAAGCTAACTCTTACCCCTGAACGAGGAATTTGTATTTGTATGTGTGCTATCTCTACTTTTGTTAAGGAAAGTAAAGTAAATGTTGTGTCATGCATTGATATGTACAGATAAAGACATCTTTATTTTCCACTGCCTTGAAGATGGAAAAATAAATAATTAAAAACCAGTTATATAGTATGGATGGACCTGGAGAATATTATGCTAAGTGAAATAAGCCAGGCAGAGAAAGACAAATGTCACATGGTCTCACTTATATGTGGAATCTAAAGAACAAAATAAACTGATGAACAAAATAGATCCAGTGACATAGAAGCATGGAACAGACTGAAGAATCACAGAGGGAAGGGGGAGGGAGAGGGGGAGATTAACCAAAGAATTTTTATGCATAAATGCATAAGCCATGGACACAGACAAAAGTGTGAAGAAGGCCTGGGGCGGGGGGTGGGTGCAGGGTAGAAGGAGTCAATGGGGGGAAAAAGGGGACATCTGAAATTCTTTCAACAATAAAGAAAAATTAAACAACAAAAAAAACAATTATGTGGAATAATTGAGCTAATCAATGTTTTTTCTTCTCAAGAGCAAACTTGTGTGGAAGAGAGCATTCCTTGTCCTGGGGCTCTCTGTGCTAGCGGTGTTCAGCAGCATGTATTTTGGTTTCCCTGGGTCAGGAGGACTGTGCACTTTGGTCATGGCTTTCCTTGCAGGCCTGGGATGGACCAACAAAAAGGTAAACTTCATTTTTAAGTTCTTCTCATAACTACTTTCTGATCAGATTATTTTTTTTTGTTCCAGATACTTGCTTGGCATCAGGATAATAAAATTATTTTAGCATAAAAGCTATTTTCTATGCATATACAAATGTATGCCCAAATGCACACACATTCTTTTTTCTCCTTACATATCAACCTATAACTTGGCATCTTTACTTAAAATATATCATGGTCATATTTCTCTGATGCCTTCCTTTTCTTTGTAAGGGCTACAGAGTATTGCATTGTCTAGCTGTACTATACGTTATTAAACCACTTTCCTACTCACAGACATTTAGATTGTTTCCCATTTTCTGCTAAACAAGAAGTGCTTCAATAAAATACTGTATCCTTATATATACCATATTCATAAACTCTAAGACACTGTCAAATCTAAGAAGAAAGAAAAAGAATATTGCCAATTAAGCTATGACATGACATTCTAATTTCAGAAGTGTTTAAATGTGAGAAAATGTGCATCTTAAAATCAACAAAATATAGTATATCTTTGAGTTTATAGGATAACTTTCTAGAAATAGGATTGCTCTACGAAAGAGGATGCACATTGGCGCTTGTTTTAAATTTTATTTTTCAATTATAGTTTACATTTACTATTACTTTGTATTAGTTTCAGATATACAGCATAGTGGTTAGATAATCATATACTTTAAAAAGTGTTCCCCCTGATATTTCCAGTACCCACATGGCAGCATACATAGTTATTACAATATTATTGACTATCATTTTGATAGTATCAATTTGCCCTTTTAAAAGGTTGTACCATACTGACACATAAAAAGTGGTGTCTTGTTTTCTGTTTCTTTGATTAGCATTAAAATTGAATATTTTTTCATATATTTAGTCACTTCTCTTATTTTCTTTTCTTTGATAGGTCTTTTGTCCATTTTCTTCTGAAGCTTAATGCATTGATTATTGATCTGTAAGATATACACACATATATATGATATTAGCCCTTTGTGCCCTTTTTATGTTGTTCATTTTTAACATACAAATATATTTTCATGTGGGGAGATCTACCCATCTCTTATTACATTTCCTTAATAGTTTTTTTCTTAAAAATCTCTTTACCAGTAAAATCTTATATATGTTATCTCATTTATTTTTACAATAACCTTGATAAATATATATTTGACCCACTTTACAGACGAGGACATGAAGGCTTAGGGATATCAGATTGCCCAAGGTCACAAAGCTAGTAAGTAGCAGAGCTAGGATGAGAACACACCTTTTGATTACAGAGAGTCCCTTACAGTGGTTTGACTTACGATTTTTTGACTTTACAATGATGGTGCTGAAGCAATATGCGTTCAGTAGGAACTCTACTTGGAATTTTGAATTTTGGTTACTTGCTGGGCTGGCGATACGCGGTATGATACCAGCTACTTCCCGTGATGCTGGGCAGTGCAGCGAGCCTCAGCTCCCAGTCAGCCCCTGATCACCAGAGTAAACAACAAATACTCGACAGAGTACTGTGTTACCAGCGTTTTTTGGATATTGTGTGTTACGTTTTTGCATCACATCATGTCTACAAAACACCTACCTGTGTCTCCTGCTTCTGGTGAGAAGAGGAAGACAAGTCCTCATGAGAAGAAACTAAAAACAATTGCCTAACTGCAGGGTAATGTAAGTGTCCTGAGCACATTTAAGGTAGGCTAGGCTGAGATGTGATGTTCAGTAGGTTAAGTGCATGAAATGTATTTTCAACTTTGATGGCTCATTGGGACATAATCCCATCAAAAGTCGAGGAGCATCTGTTTATCAAAATGGTTCCCTAAACAAAGGAAAGAAAACGAGTCTTCATTGAATCAGTTATGTGGCAGGCACTCTGAATACTCTGAATACCTTTTGTATTTTGGTACTCAAGGAAATTCCTATTTCTGGAGACACCAGTCCAATGAGTCCAGATTTTTGGACTTCTTTTCTCCCTTGGTCTGTAATATAGCACAGGGTCAAGAGTTCTGACCGGTGGGGCTAATCTCAGCTCTGCAATTTTGTAGCTGTATCTACAAACAAGTAATCTAATTCCTCAGTCCTCAATTTCCATCTCTCTAAAGTGGGGAGGCATAAAAACAACTTCTAGAGCGAAGGATTAAGAGAAATAATCTCTATAACGCCAAGTACTTAGTTATAGAAGGTCCTCAGTAAATAATGGCCCAGTTATTTTTATGTCTACTTCCAGAGCAGTACAGCATGTTAATAATGCATAAAATTTAAAATATGGAGATTGGGATTCCAACCCCAGTTCTACTATTCTCTAACTGGAAATCCCCCCAAAAGTCACTTACCTTCTCTAATGTTTAGTTTTTCTCAACTGTAAAATAAAGAATATAATAACATCTAAAGAATTGTTGTGACTACTATGTGGGAAGATGAAAATTAAACACTTGTAAACTCAACAGTTCTATAGCAATATTGTTGAGTCATATTTTGAAAAGCTAAAATATTTTATAAAATTTTGTTTATGCCTATAGTTTTATGACATTATTTCATACTTTTCTGCTTGGTTTTCCATATAATCATTAATCTTGCCATTTATTGTATTCAAATGCACTCACCTTCTTAAAGCCTCTTTGTGCATTTTTTTCATCTATTTTCAAATCCAGTGCTGCTTCTGCTGACCTTTATAGTCATGGGACTTTTTTCCCTGATATAATTTAGATCTTCTGAATCTTGAAATGTTCTTATCTCTAAGAAGAGAAGAATCAGCTTCAGTAGTTATTTAACTCATAAAGAAACTTTCATTTCTCTTAACTTTCTCCTTTTGTCGATCTTTGAAAAATGTTTATATTTTCAAAGATTCTTATTAATGGTGTATACATGTGTGTAAAATGGCCTAAACTTTCAATGGACAACACAGTACTCATTCCTCTGGGCTCATCTTCTTTTATACTTAGCCTATTCGATGAGTCTATTTTCTTCATTTATTTTTTTTATGCTTGGTTTAATCTCTTTTTTATTAAATTTATTGGGGTGACAATTGGTTAATAGGATCATACAGGTTTCAGAGGATTTCTATGTTACAAGATCTGTATATATGGTGACAGAAGATGATTTGACTTTGGGTGGTGGACACACAGTGCAATATACAAATCTATTTTCTTTATAAACCAATTCGCTTTAGATTTGAAGTTATGAAAAAAAAAACACACACAAGAAAATACATTGGCAGAACCAGTCATTGTCATTAAATTATGAAGAATATTGCATCTTATCTAATATAAACCTTTCATTTTACAGATGAGAAAAATGAGGTGCTGAGTGGCAAGTGGCTTATAGTTAGTGGGTAGCAGAATTTGAACCTGTCATTATCTGATTCCTTATGACGTGAAAACACAATTTTTTGCATGATATAGGGATACAACTATATAAATAAATCTACCAACTCCCTCACTTATGCTGTCTTTCAACATTTATAAGCCAAGAGGAAATATTTACCCTAATAAAACATCAGAAATAACAAAAGAAAAAAAAAACAAAGAAACTATGCAATCCTCCTTAGTCAAACTGCTTAATACTATGTATATGAAAGTGCAGCTCCTTAAAGATGTATAATTGTAAGTATAAAAATATCATCCAAAAATATAGATTCTTATTAGTTGATTGAAAAAATCTGTTAAATGTAAATTCTTTGACACTGTAATGGGTACTGATAAATTGCCTTCCAAGAAAAGCATTATTATTTGCTCTCCTACCAATTAGTAAGAGTTCCCCCACCCCCTATAAAAGATGGCATGTTGCTTTAATCTGTGTTTCTCTGATTACTGAGTTTTAGTGTCTTATTTTTTGGCCAGTTGTGTTTCTTCTATGAAGTACTTGTGCATAGGCACTGCCCAGTTTTCTATTAGGTTCTCTATCTTTTTCCTATTGACTGGATGTTGTTCCTTATTCTGTTATATTAGTGCAGATATTTCCCCTGGTTTGTCACTTTTTGGGGGGCCAAAACATTTTGGTTTTACTATAGTTAATTGCATCAATATTTTCCTAGGGTTTTTGCATTATGTGTTATAAAGTTAGTACCCTCTAGGGTCTTATGAGGAAAGAGAAATCACATAGTAACTGGAATAGGGAAAGTTTATTATTAAGCAGATATTATCTTGTAAGATGTAAAGAGACACCTAAAGAACATAGGAATAGCAGCTATAACCCCCTAAGGCTCAGATAGAGCATCCCCTTCCACCACCCCACAGCCAACCCCTCCACCTATTCCTGCCCCCCGAGCTGAGAATCCAGACCATGTTTAGAACTTTGATTCAATGGATGGCAGAGAAGTCACTGTGGTGCCCTGCCTGCAGAATTTGCTGGAAGTCTACCCTCCAAGTTTCCAAGAAACCCGCTGTCTAGGGTGCATGGGAAGGTATATCGCCCAAGGGAGTTGGCTGTGAGACCACCCCAGGAGCAGGCTGGGGGAAGCTGCTGGCCACTGGGTGCTGCCGGCCACCATGTGCTGTAGGGTCCTGGCACTGGAGAAGCCACCTGGGCTGCAGGAGCCTGATGCTGTAGGATCCTGCTGGAGAAGCCACTGAAACAAGGAAGAGCGCCTTCCTCCGGCAGTATCTCATCAGCGCCCCCTACTGACAACACGGTGCTAGCTAGCAAAGGAGAAATGTAAAGGGCCGGGCTCCATTTTCCGCATAGCAGAAAGGAGCCAAGGTCAATGAATTAACAACTGAAACAGCACTTTGCTATACCTGCATTTTATTTTTGTGCACAATTTGAAGTGACCCTAAACAATATTTTTTGTAAAGATAAAATAAAGTTGGAAACAACTTAAAAGTCCATCAATAAAGAACTGATTAAATAAACTATGGTACTTCCACAACATATATTCCTATGTAGCAATAATGAGGTGCATTATCTGGATATATATACTAATATGATAAGATCTCTAAATCATATTGTTAAAATAAAATGAACATAAAGTTTTAAGCTATGAGCCCAGCCAGCGTGGCTCAGAGGTTAAGCATCAACCTATGATCCAGGAGATCCCCCGTTCGATTCCCAGTCTGGGCACATGCCCAGGTTGTGGGCTCGATCCCCAGTAGGGGGTGTGCAGGAAGCAGCCAATCAATGACTCTCATCATTTATGTTTCTATCTCTCCCTCTCCCTTCCTTTCTGAAATCAGTTAAATCATATTTTTAAAAATGTTTTTAAACTATGAAATAAAACTGAGTATCACAATATGTATACGCACACACAAATGTCATGTATTCTGAAGTAGAAGTTCTCCTAAGATTACTTTATAAAACTGTTTATAATTAAGATCCATTTGCAAAACAACACTAAAGCACCTCATTTAATAACTGTGTTAGAAATACAGGGTGTTCTGTATTTCCTGTATACACGCTTTGAATAATTATAAAGGCAGCGTTCATTAAAATACATTTCATTCTCAAAATGTAATAGAATCAGCTGTTCAAGTGTTTATACTTTTTGGGGAACACTGTGTATGTGCAATTTTTTGCTCTATTCTAGCTAACATCTTAATTTATAGATATCACAGAAATAAGCCTATCTCAGCTCAAACTGACTCAAATTTTAAATTAGTAAAATTCTTAGAACTTGTAACTTTACCTAATAAAAATCCATATGTATGTTTGTTTCTTTTAGGCAGAGGTTGAAAAAATTATTGCAGTTGCCTGGAGTGTCTTTCAGCCCCTTCTCTTTGGATTGATTGGAGCAGAGGTATCTGTTGCATCTCTCAGACCAGAAACTGTAGGTAAGAATTTCAAAGTAGTACTTCGGCTAAAATCAACTCTTTATATTCAACTCTTTATATATAGTTGAAATATCTTTAGTAGATATATGTGGTTCCCACTGTCAATTATATAAAAATTTAATAACTGTCTAAGTTTCTTAAAGTAGATGGTTAGAAAATAATGTTTGTCAATCTAAGACTAAATTTTATATCTTTACAATTGTTCTTTGTAAACAAAAGCAACATTGCTTACTACTAGCAAAAATGCAGGCCTTAAAATATTTTTTTCTAAAATTAAGAGTGCTCATCTAGCCTTGTTTTGATCAAGGACCAGAATTTTAAAGATAACTAGTCATGGAATAGACTATATCTACCTATGGAATAGAAATGTTTGTTCATTCATTCTTTTATTTATTTAAGCATTTAAAAGCCATCATGTTAAAACTCTCTTGATTCATAGCACTGTTTTTAAAGTTAATTTGCACATATATTCTCTATATTTCCTCCTTTCCTCACATCACAATATTCTCTGTCCTTCCTGGGGAACCTATTCCCTGCCACCTCCTTCTGGACCTCACACATAGATTCTTCTCATACATCTTTAAATATACTTGTCATAGGCATACTTGTCAGTTTTCTCCTCTACAGAATTTAAAGAGCCTAATTTCTCTTATCTTAAAATAATATTTTTCCATTCTAATACATGTTGCAACATGGATGAACCTTGAGGACACTACTGTGTGAAATAAGCCCATCACAAAAAGACAAAGACTGTATGATGTCACTTATATGAGGTATCCAGAGTATTCATGGAGACAGAAAGTAAATGGTAGTTGTCAGGGTTTGGGGGGAAGGGGAAACAGGGAGCTGGTGTTTAATGGGTATAGAGTTTCAGTTTTGCAAGATGAAAAAGTTCTAGTGATTAGTTCCACAAAAATGTGAATGTTTAATCCTACTTAGCTGTACGCTTAAAAATAGTTAAGATGGTAAATTTTATGTGTATTTTAACACAATTAAAATTTGTTCTTTCTCCAATTCACTTCCCTCCTCACCTACTAACCTACCTCTCTATTCCTTTTTTCAAACTTTTCCAAAGAGGTAAGTAACCATAGCCCCTTTTTCCATTTCAATTCTTATTCTCTTATTCAGTACATTTCAGTCCAGCGTCTGCCCTCTCGCACAACCAAACCTGCTCTGAGGAAGGTGATATTGCTAAGACCACTGAATATCTATTGGCCTTTATTTTATTTGAGCTCTCAACAGCATTTGGGAGATCTTTAAACCACTTTTTACATTGAGTTTTGAAACTTTGAATTTTCCAGAGCTTTTTGAGTCCACCTTTGTGGCTTAAATGCTGCTTTTCACCTAAGTTCTTTCCAAAGCCTCTGTGCTACTTACTCTACATCACATCTCTGAGCTCACCTACACTCAGCGGTTTTGATCATGAGTTGTATACTTCCAAAATCTTTATCTCTAAATCAGTATATCCAGTTGCTAATTGAACATCACCACTTGTAACTCCTACAAAATTTCAAACTCAGTGTGTCTAAAACTTTATCATTATCATCTCCCCAAACTTTTCATGTTCCCTTTTGGGAGTGGTATCATCTCTTGGATCTTGTACTTCAAGCAACAAACACTGGAAAATTTACCAACCTAGGAAAAATACCCTTCAACAAAGAATCACATAGTTTTTTATCTAAAGAAACCATATTGCAGATTCACAGCAGATCCCCAGCAATGTCTATCTGGTGTTTTACAGCCTTTGGAACTTGAGAAAGTTATTCATCCTTTCTAAATTTCATTTTTTTCAACTGTAAAATGAGAAAAATTGCCCCACAGGTTGTAAGGATTAAGTAAAGTAATGCACTTAAGGCTTTAAGTGGCACAGAGTAAACACTTAACAAATGTTGCTTTTTTTAAAAATCACCCTATTATTTAGCAGTCACCTTTAGCTGTGGCTTTCTCAGGCCCAGTAGCCTGCAGCAGCCCTTGTCACAATCCCTTACTTTGCACATCAGGATGAACTTACCTTTATCAGCAAAGTATTCTAAAGGACTGAATGAAGAACCTACGGTACAGGGGAACCAGGGCTCAGGGCAGTCAGTGTAAACGCCAGCGTCCTGCCAGTGTCTGTTCTGATTGGTCAGTGCCCAGCCAGCTTTGTTCTGATCGATGGTGCCCCCTACTGTCTGGTAAATATTTTGAATATTCACCTCTGGTCTTATACTCCATAAAGAATTCTCAACCATTTTGATGAAAGTACTGATTTTTCCCCCCTCTTCTTGCTCTCTTACTAATATATTTATACTTCACTTACCTTACAGTACATTAATTAGTTGTTTATGTTTCTGTCTTCCTCTGACTTAGAAGTTCATAGAGACAAAGTCTGTATATTACATATTTTGTGTACCCAGTACCTAGTCCAAATCCTATCATGCATTGTTATCATTTAATAAATTCTTGTTGAATAAACACAGGGAAGAAAGTGTGATTTTTGCTATAAAGCATAAGAGAAATAGCATTCAATTCTCCGTTGTAGAAATTCAAATATGTTTAATTAATTTCTTACTTTATTCTAGGGAAAATACCTTCTTTTAAACAAATGGCCTGATTGATCCTTAATACACTGGTGGACAAAAATAGGTTTACAGTTTTAATACAAATAAATAATACAATAATTAATAAAGAATAAAATAATAAACTGTTTTGTGTACTCACAACTGTAAAATTTTGCCGACCCCTTTATTGATGTGTTGATAAATTATGCCTAACCTTTTTTGTTTTTTAAATTTTTAATAGATTTAGATTACTGCTGTTGATAGTATTTTGAATCAATAACTATGAGATTCTGTTTCCTCCCCAGTATTTCATTATATCTAAAAATTGAGTATTTCTTGCAGGCCTTTGTGTTGCCACCCTGGGCACTGCAGTATTGATACGAATTTTGACTACATTTCTGATGGTGTGTTTTGCTGGTTTTAACATAAAGGAAAAGATATTCATTTCTTTTGCATGGCTTCCGAAGGCCACAGTCCAGGTAATGATGGATAGAATGGCTTAGCGTTTTAGCTCCTATTTCTATTTGATACCTTGAAATTTTAAATAAGAGGGCTTATTCAAATTTGGTGAAAATAAGTAATTGAAGTTTGATTTGTGAAAAGAGTTTTTACTAATCTACTCTTTAAAAGTTTTATTTTTGGTATATTGATTCCCTAAATATGACAGATTACTTAAATTTATTTAGATTACCAGGGTACAACAAAAATTCCAATAAATTTCTACACTGCTAAGAAGCAGTAGTGGCAGGAGGAAAGGATTTTCATTTTTATCAGTCAGAGCTCTCCAAATCCCCCAGAGAGATAGTTGTTCATTTTTTTCCACTTCATTAGCTTCCAAGAAGAGAGTGAAACGAATTGCATGGCTTGTTTTAGTATTTGGAAATACTTCAGTGTCAATTGATTGATGGTCAGTTATGCTTGACCACAGTCTTTATATATAAAGTAGAAAATTTTATTGACAAACAATTCAGAAAATGCTTTACTGATTTCCTAAATTATTAGTTGATATTAAATTTTTAAACTAGCTGAACCTTCTTTCAAATGTCTCAACACAGGACCAAAAATTTGTGCACACTCATGAACAAGGTTCTAACAGATAGGTGCTTGAAGTTGTTGACCATGAATTTGGTAGAATGCATATAATTGCTCATTAAATTAGCACCGTTTAGAGTATGATTTGTTGCAAATGTAATATATTCCTAATTGTATTGTATATTTTCTTTTCTCTTTTTAACTGTTACCCAAGGATTTTGTTTGTTTATTTGTTTGTTTATTGATTTTAGAGAAAGAGGAAGGGAGAGAGAGAAACATTGATATGAGAGAGATTGCTTCCCATATGCACCCCCACTGGGGATCAAACCCGTAACCTGGGTTTGTGCTCTGATTGGGAACTGAATACTTTATTTTGGTGTATGGGCCATCACTCCAACCAACCCACACCGGTCAAGGCTATATTGCATATTTTCTAGAGTAATTATAGCAAATGAGATTTAATTGTTCCATCCCCAACTGTTTGGCAATTATTTAAGTATGTAAATTTCTATTTCATGAAATGAAAATTAAATGTTCTTAATTTAGCAAGCTGTAGGGGATGTATATGCTCTGTAACTATATGCCAGATTTTGTACAGCTGTGGACTTGGGTATTATTCCAAGGTGGGGTTTTTTCCATCAGACTTTCAAAGATGTCTGAGACATTATGGCTAAAAATACTGTGAGGTTAATGTAGTACAGCAGGTGGAATAGTTTCTCCCTCACAGTGTCTTCAGCTTCCACGCTGCTTCTGGTAACTTTAATAGGTAAACATTAAAAGAATCACTCTAGTAGCTTTGATAAGAAAGACTTATTTCTAAATATTAAAATTTGAAAATGGTACCTTCCTGTTATCAAAACAAATTTTGAAATACGGGGATATTATCTAGGATGTGTTGAAGAATGTAGTTCTGTGAAACAAGTATTACATAGAATTTTCTTGTTTCTTCTTTTGCCACAGCACAAGAAATAAGACTTCTTATATATTTTTTCTATATTAGTTGATTTTCAAACTTTTTTGTTCATGTAATACTATAAAAATATATTTTAAATCACAGCTCAGCATATGTACAAACCCCAAAAGATATATACACATACACATACACACACAACAGAGAACTGAAAGAGAAATATATAGTTCACCCTTGAACAACACAGGGGTTAGGAATGGTGACCCCTGCAGAGTGGAAAATTTGTGTATAACTTTTGACTCCCCCAAAATTCAGCTGTCCCTGTGTAGCAGTGAGGTATTGGTTCTAGGATCCATCCATGGATACCAATATCTGAGGATGCTCAAGTCCCTTCTATAAAGCAGTGTAGAACAATGCATCCATTCCGCCCTCCGCATCTGCAGATTCCCAACCACAGATGGAAAATGATGTTTTCTGTGTGCAGTTGGTTGAATCCACAGCTGCGAAACCTAGAAATATGGAAGGTCAACTGTATATTTATTGAAAAAAATTCATATATAAGTGGACCTGCACAGTTCAAACCCATGTTGTTCAAGGATCAAATATATATCATCATGTGTGCAGTTCTTGCCAAGAATTCACGAAATGTTAAATTAGTTATGGTACCAGATGACCTGCAATAACAAAGAAGCCTCAATACAGGGACTAAATTAGATAGTTTTTTCTTTCTCACCAGCAGTCCAGCATGGACATTCTAGAGCTGGCAGGGTGACCACTGTCCTCAGCCTGTGCCTTTCATCCATGAGTCCAGCTTTCACGATTTCTCATCCAGTGGGAAGGGGGGAAAGTATACACTACAAGTGTCCATTTGTTTCCAGGGAACAACCTGCAAGTAGTATTTATCACTTCCACTCACCTCTTGGTGGCCTTAGATACATAGCTTCATCTTGTTGCAAAGAAAGCTGGGGGGAAAGTGTCTACTTGGACAGCAATGAGACCAGCTAAAACTCAGGAGTCCTATTAAGGAAGGGAAAAGGCACGTTCAGATATTTGTGGTCAATTAGTAGTCTCCACCATTATGTCTCATGTACATTGATATTTTCTCTTCTGTTTCACTGTCCTAGAGGCTAACATGTTTGGTGGGATAAGGGGATAACTAGATTGACTAATGTATGATTTTCCCATGTGCACTAATATTTTATTTGCCTCTAAGAGAAAACAAGAATTTTTATTAGATTTTCCAGTAGATAAACTTTAAATGAAACATTTCACCAACCCTGAGGCAAAGAGTTAAACAAATACCTAAATTTCAAGTTTCATGATGTTTAAAACTAGTTTTGACTCTAAAGCAATACATGTTCTTATGTGGGAGTTGTTTTTTTCATTTAAAACTTCATTATTTTCCAGTAAGTATCACTGCATTTTTGTTTTCATCTTGTTATTTCTTAATTCCAAATTCCTAAAGATGAAACAATGAGATGATCAGTAACTTTCCTCCTTAGGAGAAATTTTGTATATAGAATCATGTTATAGTTCATTAATATCATGAGTCTGGGTTTGCCTTGCATTTTGAAATATATTTGCCTGATATTTTTGTAACCTTACTTGATGCAAATCATCATTCTTTCCCCATGCAAAGGCAGAGAAAGTTTTCAAACAATCAGAACCAACTTCAGTATACTTTGAAAGAAGACTAACAGAACTTTCTTAGTTGAGCAAAAGAACAAGCAATTTGTTTAAAAATAATTCACCTTATATCTATGTGCTTATCTTATTGTGTTTCCAAATTTACCTTTAAATTTTTATAGGCTGCAATAGGATCTGTAGCTTTGGACACAGCCAAATCACATGAAGAGAAACAGTTAGAAGAATATGGCATGGATGTGTTGACAGTAGCATTTTTGGCCATACTCATCACAGCCCCAATTGGAAGTCTGCTGATTGGTTTGCTGGGCCCCAGGCTTCTCCAGAAAGCTGAACATCAAAATAGAGATGAAGAAGTTGAAGGAGAGATTGATATACGATTTTAGAGGTGAAAAACAGAAAAAGAAAGAATGCTGAATATACTGATTAGAAAGCTGCTAACAGAGGCTACTTTTATCAACTAGCAGAGGCAAACTTTATCAAGACAGATACTGAAATATGTAATGCTTAAGCTTAAAATGTAATAGAACCAAAAGTGTGGCTATTTCTTTAAACAGCATTTTTAGCCCATTACCCTTTCCATGTGGGTGGTGATGTTCTGCAACTCCAACCTGATCTCTCTACCTTATTTTTTTTTTTTCCAAACACTCCTTCATCATATATCTTAATTTGCATAGGGATATATACACTTTAATTTGCTACCACAATTTAAAATTCACTTGGGAAAGACCAAGTTCACAATCCTGTTCTGCCAGCCAACAGCTTTCTTTGACTCACTGTTACTGTCACAGCTTCATGATTTGTGGTCACCTAGCCTCTCATGTGTTGAGCTGGCTCCTCTTTTTTGGCCCCTCTTTTCTTTTTTGTTTTTAAATACCATAATCCAGTCCCTCATCAGTTTCTACCCTCACTTTCCCTGCTAATCTGCCTCACCTCCACCCCTTTTATTATAATTTACTGGCCCCACCAAAATATTCAAGTACACAGAGCATCTTCATTGGTTCTTCCTCTTGCACTTATCTATATGCCAGAAGACCTTATTCTGACTCCTAGCTGGCTGCCCAGAGCTCCCCATTTCCGTGGCCCAGCTGACTTTGCCTCCCCTTACAGATGCACTGTCCTAGCCCTTTTTTATTTGTTTCAGGCTCTTCCTGTTCTCCAGGTGAGACAGAGCTAATTTTCAAATCTATTGCCAACCTCATAATTATCATATCAATCAAGGTAAGATAAGCTGCTCTAATGAAGAAACAAAAAATACAGTGCTTAAAAGAAAACAGAAACTCATTTCCCTGTCATGCAACTGGCTGGCTGGTTGATGCGAGGCGTAGAGGTATGGGCAGACTCAGGGGTGTCAGTGACTGAATTGTGTGGCTTTAGGATGGGGGCCATTTCCCCCACTTTTCCTTGAAGCTGACCAGTGCCTCCCCCTCATGAGAGATCCACTAGACCCACTCTCTGTGCTCCCATTGGCCCCACCCTCCAGGCGCCTGGTGGCTCCACCCTGCCAAGGTCTCTGCAGAATCCAGGACAGACTGAGTTGTGTGGCTCTGGGGCAGGGGCTATTCCTCCCACTTTCACCCAAGCCTGACCAGAACCTCCCCCTCTCCTGACTCCCTGCAGCTGCACACTGCTGAGATTGGGCTCATGGCAGAAGAAGAAAAAGCAGAGAAAGATAATTAAAAGAATAAAATGGAAAATACCTATCAGTAATCACTTTGAATGTAAATGGCTTAAATGCTCCAATCAAAAGACATAGGGTAGCTGAATGGATAAGAAAACAAGAGACCCACCTCAGAAGGAAATACACACAGGCTAAAAATAAAGGGAAGGAAAAAGGTATTTCATACTAATGGAAATGACAAAAGAAGTTTGGGTAGCAATACTTACATCTGACAAAATAGACTTTAAGACAAAGGTTACAGTAAGAGACAAAAAAAGCACACTACATAATGATAAAGGAATCAATCCAACAAGAGGATGTAACACCTGTAAACATTTATGCACCCAACATAGGCTCACCCTAATATATGAAGCAGATCTTGATGGACATAAAGGGAGAGATTGACAGTAATACAGTCATAGTAGGGATTTTAAAAGCCCATTGACATCAATGGACAGATCTTCCAGACAGAAAATCAACAAGGAAATAGCCTTAAATGACACAATAGATCAAATGGATTTAATTGATATATTCAGAGTATTTCACCCCAAAGCAGCAGAATATACATTCTTTTCAAGTGCACATGGAACATTTTCTAGGATAGACCACATGTTAGGACACAAAACAAGTCTCAATAAATTTAAGAAGGTTGAAATCATAGCAAGCATCTTCTCTAACTATAACGGTATATAACTAGAAATCAATCACAAGGAAAAAAAACTGCAAGACACAAAGACATGGAAGCTAAAGAACATGTTACCAAGCAATGATTGCATTAACAATTAAATCAAGGAAGAAACCAAAAGATACCTTGAGACAAATGAAAATGAGAACACAACCACCCCAAATCTATAGGACACAGTGAAAATAGTCATAAGAGGAAAATTGATAGCAATACAGGCCTAACTCAAGAAACAAGAAAAACCTCAAATAATCTAACTTTACACTGAAAGCAACTAGAAAAAGAACAACAAACAAAGCCCAAAGTGAGTAGAAGGAAGGAAATAATTAAGGTCAGAGCAGAAATAAAGAAATCGAGTATAAAAAAAAAAAGACAAAAAACAAAAGAGCAGTGAAAACAAGAGCTGGTTCTTTGAAAAGATAAACAAGATTGACAAATGTTAACCAGACTCAGCAAGAGAAAAAGAGACAGGGCTCAAATAAAATCATAAATGAAAGAGGGGAAATAACAACTGACACCAAAGAAAACAAAGGATTGTAAGAAAATATTACAAACAACTATATGTCAACAAATTGGACAACCACATAAACAGAATGAAGTATAAAAATCACATGACCATGTCAATAGATGCAGAAAAAGCTTCTGATAAAAATCCAGCACCATTTATGATAAAAACTCTCAGCAAAGTGAGGAATAGAGGAAAATACCTCAGTGTAATGAAGGCCATGTATGACAAACTCACAGCCAATATCATACTCAATAGACAACAACTAAAAGTGTTTCCTTTAATTAAAATCAGGAACAAGACAGGGATGCCCACTTTCACCATTCTTATTTAACATAGTACTAAAAGTCTTAGCCACAGCCATCAGACAAGAAGGAAAAATAAAAGGCATCTAAACTGGGAAGAAAGAAGTAAACCTGTCATTATTTGCAGATGACATGATACTGTTACCAGGGGGATTACAAGACCTCAGTTCTTGTCTTCTTGAAGGAAAGATTTCAATCAAGAGACAAAGTGCAGCAAAGCAAGCAAGAATTTATTGGCTGCAGCAAATATATACTTAGGACAGTGAAACAAGGAAGGACATAGAAGTACCAAGAGAGCCTGGGCTGGGCTGCTTTGGCTCACTGAGAAGTCAGAGAAAAGTGGGCCTTGGAGACAGATTCAGGGGGTTAGCCCAGGATGAGCTGCCACTGCCCATTGCTCCTCTGGCTGCAAGTCTTGTGGGGTCCCTCAGAGGGAAGAATAGAAGGGAATGGCATGGGCATGCTCTCCCTGGCAGAGAGTGCACCCTGGGTCCTTTCTCCTGAGTGTATTTATCTCTCCCTTGTAGGTGAAAATCTTAGAGGAGGTCTCAGGGGAGGGTCTCAGTAGAATGTTCATCAGCTTTCTAGCTGTGGTCTTTCAGGGTCCTGGTCTCCAATGACTGGTCAATGTCAAGGCAGGGGGTCATTAGTCAATGCAGTTGGTACTGAGGAAGCCACTGTGTCACTTGTCTGGTTTTGCTGCTTTTCTGGGCCTGGAGCTGAAATACAATGGAGGCCTATATGTTATCTTTAGGGAGGAAAATGTCAGGGGGGGTCTAAACTGCAAAACTAGTGATATAAAAAGTCAGGGGGTCCAAACCACAGGCCAGCAATATGCTTGGGGAGGAAAAGTTACCTCGGGGGTGAGGTTCTTGTTTTCTAGTTTTGCCTCTTGCTAGGCATCTGGAGCTTTTTGCCCTGGCGAGTTACTGTACTTGGCCCATTGTCCTTGCTCTGCTCATGTTTGTCTAACTGCCTATATCAATACTATATAGAGAGAACCCTAAATATTCCACCAAAGAACTACTAGAACTGATCAATGAATTCAGTAAAATAGCAGGATACAAAATAAATATTCATAAATAAGTTTCATTTTTATGCACCAATAATGAACTATCAGAAAGGGAAACTAAGAAAAAATCCCATTTATAATTGCATAAAAAAAAATACTGCCTAGCTGGCAGGGCTCAGTGGTTGAGCATCGACCTAGGATCCAGGAGATCTTGGTTTGATTAAATGCTCAAAACCATAAAAATCCTAGAAGAAAACATAGGCAGTAAAATCTCGGATGTTTCTCATAGCAATATTTGTTCTGACATATCTCCTCAGGCAAGGAAAACAAAAGATAAAATAAACAAACTAAAAGTCTTTGCACAGCAGAAGAAACCATCAACAATATGAAAAAAAAAAGTGAATGGGAGAACATATTCACCAATGATACATCTGATAAGGGGTTAATATCCAAGGGGTATAAAGAACTTATAAAACTCAACACCAAAAAAACAAACAGTCCAATTTAAGAATGGGCAAAAAAACAGAATAGACACTTCTCCAAGGAGCACATACAGATGGCCAATAGACACATATAGAGATGCTCAATGTCAGTAATCATCAGAGAAATTCAAATTAAAAATATAATGAGATATCACCTCACACCTGTCAGAACAGCTATCATCAATAAATCAACAAACAAGAAGTGTAGGCGAGGGTGTGGAGAAAGGGAACCCTCATGCACTGCTGGTGGGAATGCAGATTGGTGCAGCCACTGTGGAAAACAGTATGGAGCTTCCTCAAAAATTATAAATGAAACTGCTTTATGACCCAGTGATCCCACTTCTGGGAATATATCCAAAGAAACCCAAAACACTAATTTGAAAGAATATATGCACTCCTATGTTCTTTGCAGGTTTATTTACAATAGCCAAGATTTAGAAGCTGCCCACGTGCTCATCAGTACATGAGTGGATTAAAAAAGCTGTGGTACATTTACACAATGGAATACTACTTGGCTATATAAAAAAAAAAAAAGAAGGAAATCTTACTTTCTGTGACAGCATGGATGGACCTGGAGAGTATTATGCTAAGTGAAATAAGCCAGGCAGAGAAAGACAAATACCATATGATTTCAGTTACATGTGGACTCTAATGAACAAAAACTAACAAAAAAAAAGTAGAAACAGACTCAAAGATACAGATAAGAGACTGATACCTGTCAGAGGAGAAGGGTATTGAGCTGGGTGAAAAGGTGAAGGGATTAAGAAAAAAACAAAAAACAAAAAACAAAACCCAAAAAACACTCGACTCATAGACAGCAGTGTGGTGATTACCAGAAGAGAAGGCAGGTGGGGGGAGGTAAAAGAGGGTAAAGTGGAGATAAATGGTGATGGAAGGAGACTTGACTTGGGGCAGTGAACTCACAGTACAATATACCAATGATGTATTATAGAACTGTATACCTGAAGCCTATGTAATTTTATTAACCAATGTCACCCCAATAAATTCAATTTTAAAAAGTGTTCTAGTAAGGAGAACTTCTTAGAGGAGGTGATACTTGAATGGACCTTCAAGAGTGGATATGATTTGGATTAATGGGCTAATACTGGGAAGTAAGGTGAAGAAGGGAACGACTAGGTGGAGAGCCAGCATATTAGCAAAGTTTGAAAACAGTAAAGCCTGAAGTATAGTAAATGATTGGCACTTAGGGTCAATAAAGAGAATTAGTGAGAGAGAAGACTGCAAGAGAAAATTGGCAGTTAAATCATACCAAATAGATCACTGGCTAACTTGCACTTTTTGTTGAGGTGATTTCAGAAGTACAGAACCATTTATATAGAAGATATTTTTTAAAAAATTTTTTTAAATATATCTTTATTGATTTCAGAGAGAGGAAAGGAGAGGGAGAGAGATAGAAACATCAATGATGAGAAAGTCATTGATCGAACCCACAACCCAGGCAGGCATGTGCCCTGACCGGGAATTGAACCCCGATCGCCTAGGTCCTAGGTCAACGCTCAACTGCTGAGCCACCCCCAGCCAGGCAAGAAGATATTTTTAAAACTATTTTCATTATACCAAATTTAGTGAAAAATGGTGTCATGAATAAGATTCTCCTTATTCCTCAAAAGGGTTTTGCTTTTGATGGCATTGTTGCAAATATAAACAATTTAATTATTTTAAGTTACCATTAATTTGTTCTACAAGAAGGGACATCAGATGTTTGTTTAGATGCTTTTTAAACCATTATTAAATTTTCATTATATTGTTTTTAAATATATGAAGAACATCAATTTTTGAAATGTTTCAGTGTTTTATTTCTGTATGAATAATTACATAGTTCTCTGTAGGTGCGAATTGCTTATGCCATTTTGGGAGCAAGCAATACACACGTTTTAGCTGACTAACTCGACTCCGGCCTGAACCCTCTGACCTGGTGAGAAAACTCCATTTGTTGATATGCCCTCCACCTTCCTTGACCCTAAAGCATTTACCCTTCAGCAGTTCATTGCATCTTGGGCACAGAGCAGTACCCTGGAGGGGTCAGACTCC